CAATTAAATTATTATTAACAAGGTTCATGTTTCGAAGGAAGATATGCATCTTGATTTAACAGAATTAGAACAAGCGGCTTATTCGGTACAAGAAGAAGATCTTATTATAGAAAATTCTGTTCACGAAATAGTAGACCAAATGGACGAATTAACGGTTAATGGCAATGACAACGATAAGTAAGTATGGAAAGCATATTACTTTAACTTTTATCAAATCTAAGGTTTCGGTGGGAAATATCCTGTGTTTTTACGTTGTATGATTTTATTTTAAAGGCCAAAGACTATATACTACATTAAAGACAAACATTCTTTAAAGTACTTGTAAGTATTTCAATAGAATTGTTTTGATAACTTTATCCCTTAACAAAGCTCACTCGTTTATCCCGTAATGGATGAAATAAATGTGTACATATTATGAATCTTTATCTAAAGTGTGCTAATGTAATACACTAACTAAAATGCACTACCTTTGGGCGAATCACATACAATGGTTCATTTTAGCATCCCACAGAAAATTATATTGTTTGGTTCAATGTTAAAAGAGTTATTTCATTTTAAAATATGTTCGAATATTTTCGTGGGCCACTGTACATACTGAATTGTAAATTCATTGTTGACGATATCGTACTGATGATAAACACATACAATACTCTGCACATTACGCATGGGTGACATTTGAAATGCACATTAAAAAAGATTTGAAGTTCCGTTTTACTTCCATTTTGTTTTTTTCTTATTAATGCATGTGTACGTTGTGTTTTATGCAGACTGTCGAGCAGTTCAAGTGACAGCAGTGACACTGACTCTGAAAGCGATTCAGAAAGTAGTACTTCAAGTACAACCACGACGAGCGATAGCAATAGTTTGGATTCCGATGATGCGAGCGAACCAGAAGAGATTACAAATTAATACTTGCGAGATATTCGGTATTTCTGTGTGTTTACTATTTCATAAAATCTTTGTAAAGGTAACATTTTTGAAAACTTTTCGCTAAAAGCTAAATTTATATATAATATTCTACCTTTATGTGTTCATATAAATATTTATACCTCTGCATATATTTGAATCTGTTTTTAAGATTGCAAGTAACTTTTACAGATAATATCTTTTATTTCTCTATTTTATAATTACATTAACGTGTAGTTATGACCGTACATGTAGATATACACACTGTATTTCATCCCTATTCAGTGTAAGTATGATTGATTTATTAAAAGATATAGTAAATCCAAGGGAGTAATTTATTGTAATGTTCGATTAACGTTCGTGGCATAAAATTGTTCTCTTTAGTATCGGTTTCCGAATTAACTATAGCAACATTATTTGGTTTTAATATACTGCTATTATCAATTGTATCGTCGACATCCTCAACCTACAATATTTTATAAATGTTGTTAATTATAATTGAAAAATATAACCAAGTATATAAAATTTTACCGTAGTATAATCGTAATCTGTAAACTCCGTATTTTCATTCTCATTATTCGATTCATCTGTTTGCCAGTAATCTGCAATTTCTCCATATACTCCTGGATTCTCATTTATAGTATCCACGTATTCAATCAGTTTTTTGTCATCTAGTGCCGCCTGATCTGGCTTCTTTACTACTACTGACTTATCAGTTTTTTTTATGATTATAAACATGGGTCATCACGTGCATTATGAGAAAAAAAATTTATTATTTATATGTTACCTTGTGATCAATAGTCTTAGTATGAAAATGATCGTGATAATCAGGACTTCCTGTTTTCAGAACTGAGTGAGTGTACTTTTGTAACGTTCCATTTTCTTCGTGTAAATGCGGAGCATATAATATTATACGTAGAGGAAATATTTTATCTTTTTGTTCTTGTGATGTTCTAAGATCTGCGCTCTCATCTATTATATTACGGTGTACAGAATAAAATAAAAAAATTGTCAAATAAAATGCATTCTTCATTTTTATTCATATATACTTTATTACAACATTACCTTTTTGTCCTCCTTCTTCCTTCTTTAAACTAATATCAGATTCACTCCCATCTGTGTAATTTGTTGTTAAATTACTGTCTGGATCGGTACTCTCAAGAAATGAATTATTATTGTTCCTATGAATGTTATCTTGATTTTCTGCATAAATTTCAGTCGTTACCGAATCCGATATCGTACTTGCTATGTGTTCTTGACTTTGTTCATTTTTTTCATTTACACTGTCATTATTTGGTACATTTTTACTCTTTCCTTTCTGCACAATTGCCGTTTCTGTTGTTTTATTATAAACTGTGCTATCATATGTACTTCCATTTAATGGAACTATGGTGCTTGCATTTCTATTATGTGTCATATTTCTTGATTCATCGAAAGAAATTGAAGCTTCTACATCAGTGAACGTTCCTTCTGTATGCATATTGCGAGTATTATCTATCTGCCCTTCGCCCAAATTTATATTTTTTAAACGATATTGTTCGTAATTCAATGAATCAACCGTTGACAAGTTTACCTAAACGTTTTTAAATAATACTTTTATATTATTTTTTTTTACGGAAAGATGAATCTATAACAATCAAGAACATGTTTAAATCATGCTTACTTCGCAAAGACCACACGGATTCTCTCTATAAGTGGAAAGAATGGCAGCTTTAACGTAAGGGAAGTAGAGTATACTCCAAGGTATTATGATTTGATAAGCTATTTTTCCGCAACTGTAATAATTATAAAACCTCTACTGATAAGTTAAAAACAGGTAAATAAAAACAAGGTAAAAATTGATTTTTGTTTTGACTCACCGATCGATGATTGCTACTTCGTCTTTCGCAGCGCGAAAATCTTCCCAAATGCCCAACTCGCCATCATCTCGAAGAAAAACGATCTCGTTCTCCTTTCTGCTTGGATCATTAAACAATGCTTCTTCCGTGTCCAAAAAGTATTCGGATTCCATCATATTTTTAGACACTTCCTTCCAAGCTTTTATCTCTAAACTGCTCTCCGTGCTGTCTTTCAATAAGTATGACGACGGCGTCACCACGAAGAACGAAATGTTTGAAAATCCCGATTTTTCTAATCTTTTCTTTAGCAATTCCAGCCTTGCATTAAAAAATTTTTAGGGATGTTATCCGACAACTTTTATTTTATACTAATAGTAATTTGTGTATTTTTTATGTTTTTAAGGGATAATGAAAGAATCAAATATTTAAAATAAGAGAATAAAATTGCACATGTTAGTACACGCTATAAAGATCTTTAGCAGTATAATGTAGATCACTCGTTCGATAACTTACATGATGAATTGCCGATAGCTATAGTACCAGGAAGGATCTAAGAACGCAAAAACATTCACATGACCCAATTGTTCCTCGCGCAAAAATCGACGAAACTGCGAGTCACGACATTGTTCAACATGTCCCCGTTTTTCACGAGGTTCCTTCGTTTGCCGGAAGTGCCGTGGACCGTCTGTCAAACGCGGAGCTCTGTCATTTTCGCGTACATCGTAACAGTCAACTATTACTACCATCATCATAGAAATCATAATCACGATCAAAATCGACATGATGCCTTCACTTTTCTCGACAAATCTATATACCGTTCGTTAAACCAAAAATCGTTTAATCGCGTCGCTAAAAATAGAATGATCTTCCAAGCGTGAAACTGAAATTATTGATAATTATTTTGTAACACTCGAGTAAACAACAATTCAACGAGTGAAATAAAATTGTTAAATTTCGAGATCTCGGTTTCGGACATACTTAGGAGTCTGCGCGTTATCAATAATTGCAAGGTACCAATGCGATAAATGCAGCAATGAAATTGCGAAGACGTCACCTCGTCGGCTACTCTAATTGTAAATCATCGTATTGCCAGCCGCGTGGTCGTTCGCGATACGACGTCCCAGCCAGAAAAATCAATTTACGTCGCATTGATGTGATATGTATGCAGGTCACACGGAAACTGTAAGCGTTTTTCTGACCTCGCATGCTGCCCGACTGCCGCGGGATCACCGTTTCTCCTACACGTGACATAAACATGACACCCTTCCTCGAACGCTATCATAGACACGTTTTAAGAACGATCTGTGTAACACGCGTTGCACAAACAGCGAGTACTACGTTTGTAACGTATCTTGATCCGTCACAAAAAACTACTAAATATTTGTACTTAAATTTCTCAATCAATATCTCCTCGGTTTGCTTTCCGTCGGGAAATTTTCAACCCAAAGAATCGAAGAATTTTGCTATAATTTTTTTCATCTTCCTCTATGATTTAGTGAGTGAAATTAATTGAGCTTAGAGAAAATGTGTATCTTAAGATAATTCGTTACTCAGATAAGAAATGGTTAGAACTAAACACAACTACTGGACGCTTCTAAGCTATCTTGCTCGTTATTTACGTTGTTTTGTAGCGTTAGATATGTCGATACGTGTACAAAGTAGTTCAATTGAATTTGCTAACAAATCGAACATCCGCCGAGATCTGTAAATACTTATGAAAGAACACGTGTTCTCTTATACAAGTGGAACAGAGAGTCCCTTGTTCTGAACTTTTCAAAGCTCCGAGACTACTTAGTTAATCGTTTACACGACCCTCCCCGAAGCAGTAAGACTCTGGCTTAAAGTACCGACAGTCAATCTTCTGATCTGTCGCTGCCTCTTGTCGCTCGAAGATAATCTTCGCAATAAAAATTTTAGAAGATACAAACATCGTGTTTCCATGATATGTGCAAGTGTAGAAGAAAAAAAGTTTGCAACAAGATTACGAGCATGCTCAAGACGATACATTAATTCTCCGTGAAAGAAACATATCCTTTGAAGTTCGGGATATTAATTGTTGGTAGAATATGTCTCGGGAGCATTGCCAAGCAGTGGTCGGTGCAATCATGAGAGTCTGCTTTTTAATTTGGCTGATGCCGCGTTTGTCAATTACGACTATATCGCTCGACGAAATAAGCAGATTCGACAAAAAGTTGTACTTTGAAGTGTCTAGAGAAAAGTTAGATGTGCCAATGTTTTTTAATTTTGAAGAAAAGAGAAGCGTGAATCAGCATGAATCGAACACCACTTTGGATAGCTTTCAAAAGACATTGAAAAAGAAAACCGAAACTATGTCACATCTTTTAAAAGGTCATATTGATCGATTGCGAAACGAAACCGAGCAGGTAATAACAAAATTTTACAATAAAATTTCATAATTTAAGTTTATAAATAAAACTTCTTTTACTCCGATTATCGTTTTAACATTAATTGTAGTTAAAATATATTTATTAGGTAGAATTGGTATTCTTGGTTGATGCTTCGGGATCGGTCGGTTTAAAAAATTTCCAAAGCGAGTTGAACTTTGTAAAAAATGTTCTGTCCGATTTCTCCGTCGAGCCTTCCGCAACTAGAGTTGCTATCGTGACGTTCGGTGGAAGAAAATACATTAGACGGAACGTCGATCAGATATCTCGTGCTGATAAAAAGGACAACAAATGTTATTTATTGAACAAGCAGCTGAATAATATTAGTTACACCGGCGGTGGAACATACACACGTGGGGCACTATTCGAAGCTGTTGTAATAATTCAATATATAATTAATAATTTCGGTTATCGAAACTCGCGGACTGCACAAAAGGTCGCTTCAATTAAACTTTGAATAATATTTTTTTAGAGGATCCTCGAGAAGGGCCGAATGAAAGCGAAGAAGGCGGTGTTTCTCATAACTGATGGATTCAGCAACGGCGGCGATCCACGTCCTGCGGCGGAGCTTTTGAAACATGCGGGTGCAACGATATTCACTTTTGGAATAAGAACAGGAAATGTGGACGAATTGCACGACATAGCTAGCTTTCCCGGTGACACGCACAGCTATTTCCTCGACAGTTTCACAGAGTTCGAAGCTCTAGTTCGACGAGCTTTGCATCGTGGTTTGTTTACAAAAATATCAGCGAAAATGACTGAAACAATTATGCTTATACCGAATGAAATTTTATTTTAATGAGTCGTATTAACAAAAACCCTACGAAGGAGCAATAAACTGGCGGTGATTCAGTTGTTAAATTACAGAGAATTCATACTTTATTTGTTGTGACATCATCTCGTTTCCATTCATTACAGATTTAAAAGCGGGCAAGTACATACCAGTGGCATTCCCAGATAATTGCAATCTTTTGTGCAAGAATATCAGCGTAATCAGAAATGAGCTAAATTGTTGCGATAATTTCGCGACGTGCGCCTGTGGCACTATCACCGGCCACTATTCCTGCATTTGTCCAGTAGGGTATTTTGGATCTGGATTCAAAAGCTCCTGCCATCGTGAGTTCGCCAAAAACAATTTTACATGCTCGAAGTTCATTAAAAGGATTTCAAATTAAAAGAAATTGTTTGATTGATTTTTAATATCACAAGTTGTCCGCACGTAGTGTAAGCGAATTTACTTTTAGCTTGTCCGAACGGTACATATGCATCGGGAGAAATATCCGGCGATTTCGCGTCCATGTGCATACCGTGCCCTGACGTGAATCATGTGACTATCGATGTACCTGCAACTTCCGTGGAGCATTGCATTTGCGCTTCCGGATTCACCACAGATGGATATAAGTGCGAGGGTAAATTTGAGATGTGATTCGATCTTGCTTTCTACCAAATAAATCCCTTGCCAGCGGCGAGAACGGGCATTTTTCCGGATAGTTGCACTATTTCATTAAGAGGATCAGGATACATCGGCCTGTAAGCTCCGTACTTTTCCAGTTTAAATTTTGGCCTCGTTGCAATCCAACCGTACTACAGAAATATACATATCTCTACTATCCTACACTAAATATGGTTGTTTGATGTTACAAAAATTGTAAATACATCGCCATTAGTTGTAACCGGAACTGGCAAACAAGTTTTTCCCTCTTCTCGAACGAAGGCCACCGTTTCAATGACTGTCTGTTTTTCTTTGCACAGTTTATCCATTTCTTTCTTTAGTTTTCTTCAAAATTAATCGTTTTTCAGTATCTAATATTCATTAATCCAATTTTATCGTCTACCTACGCGTATTCATCCAATAACCCTTCATATTTCTGGAACCATTTCATTTGCAATTTCCTCGTCTTGTGTACTTCCTCGGTTAAATTTTTGTAAATAGCGACGAAGTCGCGAGGCTTTTGATCTCGTGGATCCATCCCAATCGGTTTTATTCCTAATTCAAATAAATTTGTTGAAACTTTAAAGTCGAGCAAACGACGTTAAATTCGTTTGTGGAAAATGTTAAGACCATTACCAAAACCGTGACCGTGCGTGAAAAACAAAACGAAGCAACTGAGTTAAGTTAACAGACGTTTTCAACGATCTTCTTAACAAAATAGCTTTTTATTTTTAAATTTTGCATATTTTTGTTTGCTGTAATTTTTCACAGTTATAACATGCCCAAAGCTAAAAGTACCAGAAAATGGATATTTGGTAAAAGCAAGCGCATGCAGCAACGTGGTACACGCGGCATGTGGCATAAGATGTAAAATCGGCTTTTATCTGACCGGTGACAGTATTCGATTGTGCGGAACTGGTGGCAACTGGTCCGGGAATGAACCAAAATGTTTGCGTATGTTTTTTTTTCACAGAAATCCAGAGATATGTTGTACATTAGAATTACATTCAATCCATCGACTTATAATTTTTCTTAAGCTTGCAAACGTTTAAAAATGTTATATTCAAATAGTGAAGACGTGTCCAGCGGTTCGTGTTCCTGTGCATGGACGAATGCGTTGTCAAACCGAAGAGAACCAACGCTCGATTGCAAAAGATTTAGCCGCATATCCGATTGATACGCGTTGTCAATTCAAATGCGATACTGGTTATCAACTTCGTGGGAGTAAGATTCGGAATTGCTTACCCCTGTCGCAGTGGGATGGCTTGAAGGCTACGTGTAAAGGTATAAATCAAACATAAGAAAAGATCAGGTAGAAAAAATAATGAATAATAACAATATCTAATAATTTTATATAATCATTTTATAATAAACTTTTTATTATAGCCATAAAATGTGAACCCTTGAAACAAATCGCAAACGGACTGATTTCGCCGAATAGTTGTTTCGGTCCAGAAAAATCTCCTTTTGCAATGAACTGTACGATAACGTGCAAAGAGGGTTTTATTCTTCAAGGTCCGCGTTTCAGGTATTGCGGTGGGAAGTCTGGAGTTTGGTCCCAACGCAAGATCGTTAACCGTTGTATAGGTAATATTTTGACTTTAATACTTCATATTTATGCGATTATTTCTCACATGTTTTATATTTTAAGACAAAACTCCACCTTCAATAACGTGTCCGTCCAATATTATCACGGAGAACCTACCAGGCAAGAACTATGCATACGTAAATTGGACAATACCTAAAGTGACTGACAACGTGGATAAATCACCCACGTTATGGAGTAGACCACAAATCACGTTCCCCTGGAAGTTGAAAATCGGCACGCGCACGGTAGTGTACGTTGCGCAAGATTCGTCCGGGAATAAAGCGAGATGTAAATTCAAAGTGACCGTTGTCGGTGATTATTTATTTACTTCTTTATACGTTATTTATATGTTATAATATAATTGAATAACCATGCGATATTTTTAATCTAATTACTTATATTGTGAATTTAATTTTCTTTATGTATAGATACAGAACCACCAACAGTTCATAATTGCATAGATCCACTGATATTTTTTACCGATAGTAGTCTTGGAGTAAGTAACATAACTTGGGACGAACCTGATTTTTACGACAACTCCAAGACACCTGTGCAAGTGGAGCAAAACTATTTTCCAGGAAATAACGCGTTCAATTTCGGATTAACAAAAGTTGTGTACTACGCTCTCGACAAATATACTAATAAAGCATCTTGTATTTTGAATATTACCGTGAAAGGTATTACATTGAGTTTAGCACTGTACTAAGAAATTGCACACCTATCATTCCTATGTTATCTAGATATATGCGAAGAAGTCCCAAAGATATTAAATGGTTTCTCGAAGTGTTCCTCGACACCATTGAACAAGATCAATGAGTGCGCTTTGACTTGTGAAGAAGGATACGGATTCGCCGAAGGATTAAATCTTAGTATTGTGGACAATGCGTTGTTGTTAAAATGCAACAGGAATACAACTAATTGGCTTGAGGATAATTACATTCCGGACTGCTCAGGTATAATAATAAAAAAATTATAGTACGCGAGGACAGTATGAGTTTGATTTGTTATTATGTGTAAAATAAATTTGCATGCTTTCCGTCAATACCTTTGTTACACAGAATCAACAAACCCTAAGAGTATATCCCAGGAAGGAAGTATTATATTAGAGGGAAATGAGACAAATGTGTGCGACAATCGCACAACTCTACGCGAAGTAAGTATTGTACAATTAGTTTTCTGTAGTATTAATGTAATTGGTGATATGAACCATGGCTTTTTATTATTATTTAAATTAGCTGAGCGAATATATTACTGACGATTTAAGATTGACGTTACTCGACATTTGCGGAAACGATATTGAATGTAATCTAATTACATTTGATCCTGAATGCAAGGAAACTGTTTTACCTCCAGACACAATACCTACACAAATTAATAATAATAATAATTTGCCAACGAACCATGTACACAAGAAATCAAAACGAGATGCTAAGGTAAAGAATCCTAAAGATAAAAATATGAAAGTGAAGAAGGAGAAACAGAAAATCGAAATCAAATTCAAGGTTTTAGGTAAATATTGTTCCAAAACAAAATCTTTATACGTATAAAATATTATGTAATCCATTTGACGCCACAGGAAAAATAATCAATGAATACTCTGATGATCCAAAAGAAGGGATACAAAAGTTAAGGAAAAAGATCGACACGATGTCTAAATCAGGAAAATTAAATTTGTTGAACAATAGAACGAACGAAGAAATCGCGAAACTCGCATTGAATTTACATCTCGTTTTTAATAATCTCCAGGAACTATGCGATCCAGGGAGCGTTTTGAAGAAGCATACTTGTGGTAAATACATAATCGAATTAATTGTTTTTTAACGTTCAATAATTGTTAAATCTCTACCAACTGTCTTGTTCCAATTGTAGTAAAATGCCCTTTGGGCACTTTCTTTAATTCCTCAACTAAGAAATGTCTGCCTTGCCCTGCTGGAGAGTACGAAAACACAACTGGGTCTCTCAAATGCAAACGTTGTCCTGAATATACCTCGACGAAGAAAGCGCATTCAAAATCTCTACGCGACTGTATACGTAAGTTTCTAATTTTTTTCGTGAATGATTTATTATATAAAAATAAAATTGTTTCTGTTTGGCTTTGATTCAGACTTATGCAGACCAGGGTATTATTCACGAAAAAAGCGTTACCAGTACTTGCGTTTAGCACTAGAGCCATGTGTAATGTGTGACATTGGATTTTATCAGCCAGACCATGGACAAAATCATTGTCTTTCATGTCCATCCAATTTCAGCACCAAAAATCGTGGTGCTAAGAGCATGAACGATTGTTTGCCACTTCGAGCGATTGAGCCTGATGTTTGTGATACAAAACCGTGTTTGAATGAAGGACAATGCACACAAGAAGAGGACAGCTTCAGTTGCGAGTGTTCCGAGTATTATATCGGTAATTAATCAATTTAATACAAACTGCATTTCATCAAAAGACGATTGAAAATAAGTATTACAAATGTACATAAAATTCTGAATAGGTTCCAAATGCGAAATGTTTCAAAATCCGTGTAATTCTTTCCCCTGTTTGAACGAAGGAAGTTGCGACGTTCAAAGTTTTTCAAACGGTACAATATTCTACACTTGTACATGCAAAAATGGATATTCGGGTCGCGATTGTGAGGTAAAAGAATTTTGTACAAAATGAGTGACAATAAATACGAAGTAATGGGCAATAAAATAATTTCTAGTTGTACATTGATGAATGCGCGATTAATCCTTGCCAAAATAATGGAACATGCGTCAGCACGGAGAACGACTACAGTTGTGAGTGCAAGAACGGATTCGAAGGTAAATCTCAAAACAATGATCTTAAACAAATATTTATATATTCATTTCCCAGGAGAATTTTGTGAGATCGCTGTGAATTATTGTGATCCTTCACCTTGCATGGAAGGATCTACTTGTCGCAACGTTAACAATACATGGCAATGCTTCTGTAAATCTGGTTTTTATGGTCGTTATTGCAATCTGTTGCCGTGTGATTGGCTACCGTGCAACGAGAATTCGTATTGTATCAATATCGAAGATCAAAATGCGACGAGACTGAGTTATAGGTAATTGTAAAAGATGATATTAAAGATATTCGGCCTTAAAAATCCTAATGTTGTTAGGTGCGAATGTGTAGATGGGTACAGTGGAGAGAACTGTACTATAAAAAAAGATTACTGCGAGAGTAATCCATGTTTGAACAATGGAAAATGTGTTAACAAAGCTTCTAGTTACACGTGCATTTGCCGTGTTCCATTTACTGGACTCCACTGCGAGACTGGAAAGTATAATCTTGCTCTTAACTATTTGTACTGCTAATAAATAAGTTTTTTTAATTAAAAAATATTTTCTGTTAACTGATCCTTTCAACAGAATTGTCATCGGATTATGTGATACATTTCGTCAAATCGGGAACTACGGATTATGTCAGCATAAAAGGTCCATCTACAAATCTTTCAGAGGTATTAAATATAAACAATATAATAAAATAATAACTTATGTTCTCCACACAAATAGTTATTTGATATTGATATATAATAACGATACATTGTTTTTTAGATATCAACATGCTTGTGGTTGCAAGCAAAAGATACATTTAATTATGGTACTGTGTTATCGTACGCGACACGCTACTACGATAACGCATTCACTTTAACTAACTATAATGGGTAATACACAATTCTTCATTTTTCTAAATCACAGTTAGTAATAAATTTGTTCCATATTTGAATTATTTGTTGCTCTCGTAGGTTTGTAATATATCTCAATAGCCAGAAAGTAGTAACTGACATTAAAGTAAACGATAGTCATTGGCATTTCGTTTGTTTCACCTGGGAGGTGAAAAATGGTTCATGGGAAATATTTGTCGATGGTATTTTAAGAGATAATGGTACCCATTTAGCAAAAGGAAGTCCTCTTCAAGGTATCAAGTATAAAACATGAAATGTTTCGCTTAAACATGTGCTTCATTAACGTGATGAATGTAGAATGTTCAGATGTGATACTAAACATCAGTACATATAATAATGTATTAAACAACAAATAATTCATTTTGATTAGGTAACGGAACATTCGTAATCGGACAAGAACAAGACCGAATCGGAGGAGGATTCTCAGAATCGGAATCTTTTGTGGGAAAATTAACATTATTAGACGTTTGGAATTCGGTTTTAACAGTGACAGACGTCAATCAGTTGTTTAACTCCTGCGAAAAATACTATGGTGACATAATTGCATGGTCACAGGTGCAAGAGCACATTCATGGTGACGTTATTGTAATTATATATATTTTGATAAAGTAATCACTGCATACTTTAGCCGGAAGCTTCTGAATGCTGACATTCTTAGATACTGAACAGCCCATTCTGCCGTGGGTGTCCCATGCCCGTTGTTCCTTTTAAAGGTAACATAAATGTCAGTGAAGACGCACTAAGTATCACTTACTACTGCGAGAATGGGTATGTAGTACGGTTTCATGGTAAAGAGTACCGGTCTTTGAAGGTAAAGTGCCTGAAGCATGGTCAGTGGGAGGGATACTACACACCAGTTTGCGCCAGTAAGATGAGACATTTTGCAATGTAATACAATTCTATATGTGATCTATATAACACCTGAAAAATATGAGAAAGCTGTAATTATAATAGAATGTTTAGATGTGCATTTCCTGTATGTTTATACAATATCGATTTTAATTGCAATCGTATTTAATGATGCGTCTTATTCTGACTGAAGGAAGAAGATGCGGCTTTCCTGGATATTTTCCACGAGGCCGTATGCACGGTAGATCATATTTATTCGGAGATGAGATATATTATTCTTGTTTAATTGGCTATGAACTTCGAGGAAATCCACGCAGAATTTGTAACGCAAATGGAAAATGGAGTGGATTGGCTCCTATTTGCATAGGTAAATTTTGAACATTGTACATTTTTTTTAAAAATAGATATTAATTATGTCATTGACAGGCAAAACCTGCAGAAATCTGTTAGCTCCGGAACATGGGGACATCGAGTATGTGATAGAGGAATATGAAAGAGACGATCTTTCAATCTTACAGGTGTTCAGTTGCTCCTGAATGTTTCTCCAAAAAGCGGTTTTTTAAATTAAATATCCTTTACAGGTTGGACAGCAAATCGAGTTTAAATGCGATCCAGGATTTCGTTTGTTCGGAGAAAGAATGCTAACGTGTGTGGAATCTGGAGTTTGGGATCATGAAAGACCTACATGTATCGCTTATGGATGTCCACCGCCAAAAGAGTAAGCGATATAGTCATTCGCAAAAAATCACAATTTCGTGATAAGTTGAACTAAATTTTATTATTTATTTAGAATTTTGAACGGATATATCATTTCTATAAAATCAAACAATTTACACGAATCTTCAGCCAATAATGTCACAATCGACAAAAATTATGATTTTAATGACGTCGTTGGATATTCTTGTCAATCAGGACATAAGTTCCAAGATAGTCACGTATTATTAAGCGAATTCAAACTTCAATGTACCGAGAATGGTACTTGGACAGGATTTGTCCCTGACTGCGTACCTTTGAGGTGCCCTTGGCCCAGAATCGTGAATAATGGAAAGTTGTCGCTTATTACACAAGAAAATAATACCTTTGAACTTCCTAATGAGCAGACAATAATTAATGACACGAATATCAAAATCGCGTTGAATGTAAATAACAATGATTCCAAGCAATATCAAAATTTAGAGGACCAATTTATTGTTGGTACTCAAATTCTTATTCAATGTAACATAGGATATAAATTAATCGGCGATAGTGTTAAAATTTGCGAAAGTAATGAAAAGTGGTTGTCCACACCAACGTCTTGCGAGCCCCAAGAATGTCCAATCGTGGAACATCCATTTTTTAAAATCATTAACAGAACACAGAATCAAAATAAGAAATTGAATGACGTCGAATCGTACGGTGGTTTCTACAAAAATTTACGGTATTTTGTACAAGGCTATACCTACATGAAAAATATAGTTCTTATCTGTAAGGACAACAATAAAATGAAATTAAGTAACGAAGATTTAACTTTTTCTAACTTAACTTGGATTTGCAATGAACATGGTCAATGGCAAATAGTTGATACACCTTTAAATGACATTAATGAATCTGTACTTAACAATGAAATAGATAATATTTGCCAGGAATCTACGTGTTCTTCGGTTGCAGTGAGTAATATGATTTAGTTTACGATTGCGAAGTTAGGCAATAGAAATTAAAATCAACTATCAGTTTCCAGAGCACGGTTACATTGTAGAGAAAAATTACTCGAAAAATGTTAACAGTAGTATAATGTTCAAATGTAATGAAGGATACATTCTTGAAGGGAATGAAAAATCTGTTTGCTTGTCAAACAACACATGGTCCGATATCCCTTTTTGTAAACGTGAGTTTCAAAAAAACAAGTGATTCTTTAAAAAAATTTTAGTTATTCTTTAAGAAATATTTACTTTAGCTATAACATGTGGAAAACCACCGAAAGTTGCAAACGCTGTATTGAACAAAAATTATATCACCACTGTAAATTTTACGTTCGATGACACAATTACGTATGAATGCATACCTGGCTACATAATGTATGGAAAACCGGATGCGAAGTGTCTTTCAAATGGGAAATGGTCTCGAGCATATAGCAGATGTTCAAGTAAATACAATATAATATTATAAAACTTTGTACTGTACTTATCAATTCATTTACTTGCTTCGCTTTTACAGAACTGTCATGTAACAAACCAAAACTTCCACCCGGAATAATCATTCGTGGTCGTTCCTACTTGTATCAAGATCAGTTGACGTACATATGCCCCAATAAGAAGCAAGGATTGATTACGTGCAAAGCAGATGGGCATTGGAGCGAACCACCGAAATGTAACGCATAATAAAAGAATAATCAGAATTCTATACATGTAGAAGTTAAAATAAATAAAACATTTTGTCAAATTTAGTAACTTGAAATTTTTTTTTATTAAATAGCACAATCATCAAATTTTTCAGATTTTACTTTTTCGTTTTACCTATATCATAAATATATTTTTACAAAATAATCTTATTGTATGAGAGACAAGA